ACGTTATTTTGTTCATGTTACATATAATTTCCTACGAGAAAATAATATGGGCCATTCGAGGCCATCCGAGTGGACAGCGCCGTACGTGATCAGAAATGATTTTAGGGTTCCAGATTAGAAATTCTTAATCGCCAATCCAAAGCGATTTTGCAATGGAAATTTAGAACGAACTATAAATACATGTTGATTAGAGCTTAGACCTGATGTTAACGAATAGAATAGAATGTCAATAATAAGACGATGACGTTGGTGCACATCGAAGTTCAACGTGGAAAACATCTTCGGGTGAATTATTTTTCTCATCGTTAACCGACATTTATCAATACCGATTTTTTATCCGATTTCATATTTAGTAAACGCGCATTACGAACATTGTTATTCCTTGAATTGACTATCAATGCCGTCAATCAATTTTTATTAGATAAACGAAAATGATTAATTGGAAACAGAAGTCAACAGGAACAAAAAGACCGGAAACAATGAAACAATACGACGTGAATCTGTGCGAGTCACAGATAAAAAAAATTGAATTGCGATTTCTAGAATCGCATCGTTGCAAAATGAAAATTCTGCAACCTTTTCGTACCCATACTTTTTCTTTATTTACCTCGCGCGACGATAATTTTTTACCAAATTGCAAACCAAGTGTTTCATCGAAGGCCATACGAAGCAATAAAATGCGTCGACAAAGAGGAATGATACGCCAGAACAATAATAAATGCTCCCCTAGGAATAATTCCGCAATAAATGTTAACAATGGCAATCGATACGAGTATTTCATTTTTAATGCCGAGTACTTGTTGAATAAATTACACGTAATTCTGAATTAAGGTTGTATGACCCCTTAAATAAAAACAACCAATGGACTCTTGACAATTATTATTATTAGTAGATCGCGGATTTTTGTGCAAAATAAATATCTTAATAAAAACACGTTTAACAATTTTATACATCTCATAGTGAACGTCCCAATTTCTGTTCGCATTCCAATTTCTACTCCCTATATTTTATTTTAAATGCAATCTTATACAAGTGTTGAATATTATACAAAGTGATAAACGAGTCAAAACAGAACTTGGCAAATTTACTATACTTCTCTCAGTAAATATCATGTTTTTTAAAAGTTTATCGTTTCAAACTACGAACGTAGCTCTTTATCACATTTGTCAAGCTTTTGGCAGAGATCTTATAATTCCTACAACCTTAGACGACTCCTCATAGCAGTCGTTACGATATAAAAGCTAGAAACTGCGCAAGATAGATCTCCAGCGATCGCTTTGATCGATCGAATAATCAATAAACACGCTATTATAAAACTCATGCAATCCCTAATAAACGTCAAACCGTAAATTATAACTAAGATCGAACGGAACGCGAATTACTCGATCTGCTGTTATAGTAATTTAAAATATAAGATCACATTATGTGTATTTTACACCGCTGTAATTGAAAACCAACATGTAAGCGTAACGTTGTAAATGTCACTCGATCCTCTATTTTGACACTGAACTTTCGAAGCACACGTAACGAACATCCGACCGGTCGAACGTAACGAATAATTGATGAAACCGATGCAAGTTTAATGCGAAGCTGGTTGATTTATAACATACGTTACGAACTCACCATTTTGGGCGGAGTAGTCCCAATCGTTCTGGTCGGCCATCTCGATGAACGAAGACACGATCGCCTTAGATGAAATTCAAGTCAGCGTAGTTCAGATCCGAGTACAGTTTACTCTTCGTCTTGACCGCGATTCGAATCTCGTTTGGGTCCAACAGGTCACTCTCTACTTCTATTTGCGTCTACCGACTCCGAATAATTAACCGGTTACCGACTTAACTAGCCGATGGACCTCGTCACGGGGTCGATCCGAACTCGAAGGAGAACGAGCGGCAAACGAGCGCGGCTAACTTTCGAATGATCCCCTCGTTATTTAAATTGACAACACAACGAGCCGTAGGGAGTGGATGTGACGGCGCGTGTAACGGGCTCGAGAGACTTGCACGTTGATGAGTAAAACTGGAAACGAAAAGGTGATTCACCTCTCTGGATCGTCCGCGAATGCAACGCCGGCCGGCCGCTCACTGGATTTTATAACCATGCTGGTCACGTGACTTTTACTACGAAAATCGGTTCGCCGCGCATGCGCTAGTAAATGTTTACACGTGCACGGAGAATCCCCACCAAATGTTCCAGCACGTGCTTACGCTTACGGACGGCGCGGCGACGACGCGCTGATAATAATTGTTAGATGCTTTGAACCTGTTTGCTCACCTTTTTTATTAGCTTTCTGTTATAAGTCGTTCGTGGCCTTTGCGAAGAACGCCGCATTTTTATCTACGAAACTAATTTGATAACGCTGTATCCAAGGCCCATTTTATATGTGAACAGACACGTTCGTAATAAAAGGAATGAATTCGTGCTGCGATAGACGGCGACTAGCTACTCGACGCGTTAATGAGTCATTTTTGAATCTGTTTTACACGGAAACATTAATCTCGATGAGACGATAAGGTAAAATAACGCGCGACAATTGTTTTATCAGCTGCAGAATTCCGATGACGAGAAATCAAATGCGAACGCGTCACGGTTTCAACTGTCGTAAGCGTTTTTCTTTATTATTATTTCTTTATTAACGAGCATAAGCCGTTTAGAATATAAAAGAGAAAATAAAAAGAACTGTGATGAACTTAAAATATCAATAATAGATGTACGCAAATATAAACTTAAAAATGCAGCTAATAAGAAAAATAAGCTGAGAAAGAAAAGAGAGAAAAATGGAAAATAAATTTAAAGTTAAAGATATAAGGAATGGGATTAAAACAAATGAATGACAAAATTTAATTAAAGAGTAGAAGCCGGCTTCTTTCGTGTCAGCCAATCATTCTTTTAATGTCCTTCCATTACCAGAGTGAATGCATGCATTTAAAATTCTCAAACGGTGAGCTCGTCAGTACGTCTACTGATATTAAATTATTCCGTTTTCAAGTCTGTCCGAATGTTAATGGGAGTCACTGTACATTGATATTGTTCTTCAAATTCTGTAGAACGTATTTTGGAACAATGCTCTCGTGAGTGACCATCGATCAACAATCGATGAAAAGAGAGATTAGATTACTCTACCCGTTAACCATTCATTCATTCATACTCTCTTGCTCCTGAATTCTTCTTCAAACTTTCACAATGCGCACTTTCTTCCTGAACGCGACGTACAACGAATTAATTTATCATTGAAGAAATGATGATAATAATCGATGAATAAGACAATACGTACTATTTCAGTCAATCAGTATAACAATAAGTTAAATACGACTGCGTCACCCGTCACGAAATCATCATTTGATAACGAGGCTCGACCGATCATCTCTGATGAATCAGAATAACTCTGAAGAGGTCGAGGACCGGAATCCTGTTCCAATCTGGCTATGGTCATTCTGTTCTATCAGTTGTATTATACTCTTTCTCCTAATCCTACTTTCAATACTAAAAGAAAGTAGACTTGCGTTCCAGTTTTATAAATACGCGCGAACTAATTACTAAACTGCGGATTTTATGCATTCATAGACAAATTGAATACAGAGAAAATTATGTGAACATCTATGAAACGGATGAAAGTATGTAAATGACCAGAAGTATATTGCAGTGCTTAAATGATGTTCCTATCTAACGAGCATTTTTTAAATTGATAATTACAAACTATTTTGCATGATAATCCACAGTCTACTTACGTTGTGACCCGAAGTTGCAGATCTTTATTTATAAAAAATGAAATAAATTGAGAAGAAGGAAGCTACGAGGGTCTCCGAGATCGAAGCACTCTGTACCAATTTAATTTCATCGGACAGCACCGTCACGTCAGTGTTATGTCATGGAACGTGCCTGATCATCTCGATCGTCGTTCTACCAATAAACCCAACTCGCTCGTTCCACGGCGCTGCTCTCAATAAAATTTAATGAATTCCAGCAAATTCCGTTGGAAAACATCGACGAACGATACATCGTTTCGTCTCAGAGACAAAATTTGATTTTCCACATTTGAAAATGTAGTCCAAACACCACTTCGAAGAATTAACATCACTGTTCATATGTAATAGTAATTAATACTCAGCAACATTAGGTTTATCGTTGAACATATGTCGGTAGAAAGATCAAATTCGATGGCTTCAATAGTGAGAAAATTATTCGTAATTATTAGACTGTAGGATTTTATGCAAAATAAAATATTTAGAAGAAAGAATTGAAAAATGAAATTTAAATATGATTTGCATTCATGAATTAAGTATCATAGCATCCATTTTGTTTCTAATAATTTCCATGTTTTTGCATATTAAGTGCACTGTTCAAAATTCAACACTGTTACGTCTTTTATAAATACATAAAAATCTGGACAGATACTAGAATTCCATTATCAGAGGTAATGCGTTCATCAATCGCGTTTACAGAAAGAATCTTGAATAACAATTTTCTATAAATAAATGAAAGCTGATTAGATTATCCATAGAAACTGCGTAATACATTTGTCATAGATTCCACAAATCTTTTCGACAATTGCGTATTGAGTGCATTGTTAAAAATTTAACACGTTTACATCTTTAATAGATGCAAAAAAATATTGATATTAGGAAGATACTGGAATTCCAACGTCAGGGGTAAAGCTCTATTCAACCGCGTTTGCAGAAGGAATCTTGAATGACAATTTTCTACAAATGGATAAAGGTTGACTAGATTATTTAAATTCGTAGAAACTGCGTAATAAATTCGTCAGAGCTACCATAAATTTTCTCGACATGGTCACAGCGAAGGAACATACACGCGTATTACAATCTTTAGTAATACGGTGCATGCATGCACGAATCATTATTCATGCATCGAATAAATCCGTGAACCGTATTTGCATTTCAATTCCGAGTGTCGGCGTACGTACAGGAAGCGATAGTATTGTTGAAGTACTTTCCATCTCTTATGCAATCATCATTTTGTTCGTCCTTCGCGGCAATTAAATCGTTGTTCAAGTTCTACCTTCAAGAATATTCTCAATCTTCGCCATCCGTAAGGAGGAACTTCTCATCGTCCCATTTTTATTTCTTTTGTGCTAATTTTGTCTTATTGTATTCTCCTGTGCATAAAAGGGCTTTTAGTGTAATAAATAAATAAATAAATAAATAAATATGCGATCACTCCAGTTTCTTATGATCATCCTTGACAGGCCTCATTATGCACATTAATCATCGTCCCTCGTAACCAGCGACGAGCAGACGCGTTAAAAATGCTAATTGCCTATCGTCACCTGCATCTGCTTCGTTTGTTTTACTTAACAGCTACTGTCGATGCGTTTCTCGTTCGCGTCTTCTATTTTAAGACTGGCAACGTTATTTTTTTCACGTCTACCGTCAATAAGCCAGGGAACATTAACATTTTCAGCAATTTAAAACTGTATAAGTTTCAATAGTAGCATTTATTTTTAAACGACACTGATGGACGTTTTATCGTGTAACGACGTAAGAAAGCAAATGTTGAAATGTCCTGGGGCACAAAACTGTTCGTTTTCAACTAAGTGCAAGTAGCTATTATATAAAGTAACAGCTGTTATTATTTTTACTGGGAAGTTACTAAATAAATTTCCTGAAATAAGTAGAACCAAGCAACACTCTGATTCGTGTATTCTTTAATTAAATATGGAAATTAATAGAGGAAGATTCTAAGAAATTTCTACGGTCATAATGGATTGCACAATTCTCCCCAATGACGCAAACGTACATATCGTTTGCCGATTTTTATTGGCGAGTCGTTGGTTAACGCTAATTTAAAACCATTTCCTTCGGACGGAAAGGTGACCGCAAAAAGGTGTAACGAGATCCGTCACCGTCTCACTTGTACGATACGTAATTTGTTAGAAAAACTACGCGTACGAGTATAAACAATATTCAATGTCAAAAGCGAGGACGGACGACTCCACAGCCGCCGTCGCCGTCGTCCCGTGGTCGATTTGTCGCAAGTGCTCTTTGCCAGCTCCGATCTAATTAATCCTCGTTAAGTCATTGTCAATTGTTTACGTAAACGAACGTGCAGACAGAAACTTTCGGTCACGAATCGTACGCGTGTGCACCTCATATTCTCCTCCCAATTACATACAAACTGCTTCAACAATCGATTAACGATTAAATATGTCTTCTTTGAGCTCGCGTTGCTTTGTACAGGTGCACTGGCTCTTATATAAAATTTAATAATGTTTTCACATGCATCTCAGATTACCCTTTACGCTCCAGTGGAATGCAAATAAAATGAAGAATGATAAATCGTCAGTTGGACATTGGAAGGCTTCAAGGTAAATCTGTGATGAACAAAACGTAGACCGGATCATGGTAAATAGAGCAGAAATCGTAAGAGGGATAAAGTTCAGGAAACGTTGAGTCCTTCGATCGCTCACCTCGCTGCAGGCAAGGACTCTTCCTAGAAAGCTAATCCACGCGCAAGGAACAAAGCCTGGTATCCTAAAATGGCTTTATTAACTCTTAATCTTTACACGTGTTTAATATGTAGTACTTGTCAGAGATATTAATCTGTATACGCGTGTGTCTGTGTGTGGATGCTTTTTCATTTAACGTCCTTTCATTCGTTTCATCGGAGACACCGCTCGAAGGAAGGACGAACATTTTTTTCTTTTTTCACTACTCACTCCAAATTCCCTTTCATCCGGTTCCGTCGAGGCGCCGCGCCGTTGCAGACAAAAATAAATTCGCGAATAGGCAATCCTTATAATACCATTTATGAGAAATTCCTTATACACGTGTTAATCGTTCTTCGTCCCCCGATTTTGGAACTTGTTACTCTTGTGTCCCTCAGGAATCTTCATTGCGTCCCGTTTTCTTCTGTACAAAATACTTTCCGAACCCTTCCTTCTGTTTCATCGACCAAAAGGGAAAGCTGGTTGCCCTCCGGGTGTCTTTTTTCTCTTCTGATTCGTTTCACTGGCTTACTTTTCTGACACCGTTTCTTATAAATATCGTACACGGTTTTATTATACATAATCGACGTTTCCTTCATAAGTAAACACAATTTGCAACGCATGAGAGTTACGCGATACAGGCGATGATATGATTCGAAGCATGATATGAGTCTCGCTCTTGCTTACCGCAGATCGAGGCAAAACAAGTCCTTAAACGATTCCCCTGCGATCGAATGCGACGTCCTCAACCCGAGCATTTTTATATTTTTTTTTTCTCGTAAAAAAAGGTTTATTTTTTAGCTTAGCCCGTACGTGGGTCACCCGCGCCGATCGCTCACGATTCCCCTCAGTGGATATAAAAAATGTGATACAAAAATAGATAACACATCATTCGACTTTTCGTGAACGAATTCATCGTGAAAAAGCAATTTAATGCTGTTTCTGCGATTCAAATACATGTCCCGATTTCGTACGTCTGCGATAGGCAAGAACCCGCGATGAAAAAGGATTTCAAGAGATAGTCGCGTGTTAATATTTATATATATACTTAAATCTTCTACATTATAAAGACGTTAATTAATATTAATATATATTATATCGTAATTTAGCTTGCATACGAAACATCCGGTTCTTCTCGTCATTCTACATACACAATTATCAACATCATCATTCATACGAAGTTTCAATATCATATAGGATTGACCACTCGTATTTGCGGATTCTTTAACCGCCCGTTAAGGAATCTCCAAATTGTAGGTGCAAGATAGATATCGTTCATTCTTTTTTTTTCCATCTTCTCCTTGCCCTTCGTTTATTGCCCTCTCCACCGCTTTTTAAAAAATACCAGGAAACTGTCGAGGTATCGAAGAGAAACGTACCCGTATCCCGGAAAAAAACATGATACATTTTCTTTTGCGTTTATTCGTTCAAGAAAATCAGTCGGATAAATGTTCGTCGCAACAGAGCAGCTGGTTAAAACTGTACAAGATCAGTGTCGTTTCATATAAAATGTGTCTGCGCTCTGCGCAAAGGAAGTACGGGTTTTCTCACGCCTCTCCTCTCTCGTTTGTATACACGATAAAAAGTAGGTCTCGTTTACTTTATAATTAATTCCCGTCCCACCTTTGTTCCATCGTATTTAATTTTCTCATCTGTGCTTTAAATAGTTAGTACTTGTTTTTTGGCTTGGTAACTATATAAAATCTAGATTAAATTAAGCCTGCGACGAGTTAAAACGATGCTTGTAAAGCTTCCTCCATTTTTCAAATGGTAAAAAGAAGGAAACGTGTGTTGGACGATAGTCGTAGGGCGTCGTTACTGAAAAGGATGAAAGGAAACTGAAATTGTCGGATTATTAAACGAATAATAAACTTCCTGTACAGTGCGAGAAATAAAAATAATAAGTGAGAGCAAGATGATAGAAATAAATGCTATGCGACAATAGGTCTGGCAGTGTTTCTCGAACATCGATCTAAGTAACTGCAGCAGACTGTCTATCGAACGACAAATAGGTAATATACATATTTATATATATAATATATATATATTTGTATATATTATCATTAGTTTTTCATTTTATTCTGCGTGGCCTACAGCGCCAATGGAAGCATTTTGATGTCATTCTGCAAATGGCAATATTCGCGCGAACAGATATACATTCGAGTTAAGTTTGCTTTATTCTTTTCATCTCTTTAAAAAAATCCTTAACGTTTAAGTCTGATAATAACCGATCATCGGATGGGTCAGTTTCGATTAAAAAAACAGCTCGAATACAATGGGCGATAAAAAGAACTGTCCCGTCCGACGACGAATATCCATTAATTATTAATTCTTCTTTTTTTTTTTAATCTGGCAGCGTTACGCGTTGTAGGTACGTTGTAAGATTCGTTAAGTCAATAGTCCATTGATACTTGGAGACCGTATTTTCTTGTCTTCCGCACGGTAAACTGTTTAAGTCGTAGAACCATTTATAGTACGTGCTTTTTAATCTTCACAGCAGGATACCCTTATTGCTTAAAAAATGGCACTGATATTACTGAAATATTATAAACGAGTATCGTTGCTGCGATTTTATACACACACCGACTCTCTCCCCCCGCCCGGTTCATTCCTCCACCCCCTGACCCCTCGATTTCTATCGTTATCGAGTCAGATACATCTCGCCCTAAACGACTGGCTGGTTCTACAATGTCCTCGTAAACCTAAAACCTAAAATTATTCTCGCTTACCCGGTCGGAGTTAGTAAATCATTCTCCTCTCTCTATCTCAATCTCTCCCTATCTCTTTCTCTACAGTTTGAATTCGTTACGAAAGGCAACGCGTGATTTGTTTCATCCCATACACTCCCTAGAAAACGTGTTTCTTACTTCGATGAAATTATATGAAAGTGCAACGATGCATACGATCGTTGAAATTAAAATTGTGAAGAAACGAAATCCGCCGCGCTTGCGAGTTACCCGCGTTTCTCCCTTCGTTTCCGCATTTAATGTACGTTGTATAAAAGACGCGGATAAAAGAATGAGTATACATGTACGGATACGTATAAAAAGTTGATCGTGATAAATTAAGTAAACGTGAGCGTGTGATTTTTGGCGAGTTCTCGCGAATCGATCGGTTCTCCTCTTCTTTTGCATTTTTAATTAATGATCGAATGCCGGGACGAATCAAAGTTTCTTTTTTTTTTCTTTTTCTGTTAGTTAATTGTAAGATTATTGTATACGTTCAGAGATGCACAGTTGTCGAGTTTACCGGCATGCTGAGGCTTCTTCTGATGGTTGGTTTGGTTTTGCGCGTGTATTGGGGAGTCTCCGAGCATCGCTAGCATATATTTACGCGTGGGCGAGTGGACCGTATTTTGTTAGGGAGGCACGTACGGGGGTGGTTTCCTGTACGTCGGGGTCGGCTTAGGACGATTCTGACGATTGGTTTCGCGGTTCGTCGCGAACGGTGGCGGAGGCTGATACGGTTCCTCGGAATTCTCTTTTGGCAACATCGGTACGTCCGCGCCGTCTTCCGCCTTCTGATACTCCGGCGGAGGTAGAGGCGGTTTCTCTTCCTTCAAGATCACGGGAGACTTATTGCCTGTGACAAATTAAAAAGAATGAAATATTATTAAATGTTAAAGAGGATAATAACATGTTACTAAATACAGTAATACAAGAGCGTAGACGCGATATCTTCAAATGTTGTTCGGACGCGGTAATATCGCTTTTACGCTCTTGTGTTACAGACTGTACACTGCAAAAAATTCACCTGGATCGGGTTTCTCATCCAGTTCGTCCTGGAAGATAACCGGGATTCCCTTGCTGCGGAAACTCTGCCTCTCGTCATCCTGTTCGCTGACGCTCATCTTTCCGCTGCGCCTTCGTCTGTATAAGATGCACGCAACGATCCCCGCCAGTATTAACATTATGGCGATTATTATGGCCGGCAGAACGAACGTGATCAGATAGTCGTCGCGGAACGCTCCAACGGACGTGGAGTCGTCCACCGGTGGTACATGATTATCGGGCGAGTGGACGTCCGTCAGTTCGCCGAGACAGATGCCCATCGGGATGACAGTGATCTGTTTCACGGGGAACTTGTCGCCCATCACCTCGAGGACCTCGTCCGTTACCGATCGGCGATCGTTGTCGCTTTTCACTAACACCGATCGCAATCTACTGACTTCCGCGTGAGCGCAGTACGTGGTCGGCAGGGTTCTGTTGTGCCACGTTATCACCGTGCTACCGTTCGATATACTGTGCAATGATATAGCGCTTGTGTCCTTGTCTTGGTACAAATCTCGAAGCTTCTCGATGAAGGTTCGTTTCCGGAGGGCTGAATGTGCGAACGACTCGTACGGGATGTCCAGGGTCATGGAGAACTCTACCGTGTGGTGCATGAACGAGGCGTCGTGGACGACGACGACCAAGCTGTCGGTGGCACTCTCGCCTTCCTTATCAGTGACGACTAAGAGGTACTCTTTGCGCCCCACGTCGCTGCGCATCGGGACACCGTAAAATTCTTGATTCTTGCTGTCGAACTGCAGCCACTCATTCGCCGGAATAGGCTTTCGTTTGATCGTCAGTAGAGACATTTGCATGTTCCTCGCGGAACCGTCTTCAGCGTCGTAGAAAGTATCTTCGGGCACTTTAAATACCAATAATTGACCGACGGTCGCGTTGACGAGGTCCACCTGGTTTCTGGGTAGCGGCGGGAAGTTTGACTTAGGCTCCTGCGTGGAAACTTTCGGTGGTTCCGGACGAGTGATGTCCTCGCACTGACCGATGCCTTGATAGACTACGCGTTTCACTCGGATTTGTGGAAGAAGGGCAGAGATGAGTTCGGTGCTAGGATCACCGCTTCTATCGACCAAGACGCGCAACAGATTGTTGATATATTCCTTGGGACAGTCGCTGCTTCTGGGTAAACTGTCATTGGTCCAAGTGAAGATCGCTTGATCGCGATCGACGTCAACCGATCTGACAGTGATATGTCTGGCGTCGCTGTCTCCATACAGTTTAGCTATGCTTCGAATCACTTTTAACTCCCAGTCGATGTCCGTAGGGAACTCGGAACGTTTGTCGATCTTCAAATAAATACTGAACTCATGGTTCACGCTGCGGCTCAGCTTATGTTGCTGCACGTGGATGTCCAATTGATCGGTGGCGTTTAATCCTTCGCTGTCCGTGGCCGCGAGATCGTACGTCCACGTTGAGATATCGTTCTCCAACGGCCTGCGAAATAAAAGAGTTTTCATGCATACGTCATACTTTTTAAAATGCACGTGTCAGACAAAACTCGAATTGTTATCGTTAATGATGAATCTAAATGTATATAATCTAAATGTTTCCCTTTTAACATTCGATCGACGATACTCACAGTCCGTAAACTTCCTGCGAGGTCTGATTGAACTGCAGCCAGTGGCTGGGCTTCAGCGGGGCGCCTTGCAAGTACAAGCTCAGTCGCAGCTGCCTGGTGTTGCCATCCTCGAAATCGCTGAACGTGTTCTCCGGTATCACGTAGCTCAACGGCTTCCCGGCGGTGACCGGTATCTTCTTCAGCCTCCTATCTTGTCTAGGTGGGAAGTTGTAAACCCCGTATTCGATCGTTTCCGTGGTAACCCTCGCCGGTGGTTCGGTGGCCGCGCTAGTCGTCGGTGCCGGAGTGGTAGTGGTAGTGGTACTGGTCGTTGTCGTCGTCGTGGTCGTAGTAGTAGTCGCCGGAGCCATGGTTGTAGTCGTGGTGGTAGTAGTCGGAGTCGTCTTTATCTGCGGCGTCGTTGTGGTAGGCACTGTGGTTGTACTCGCGATGAATGCGGTGGTAATAGTTGCATTCGCCGTGTTAGTTGATACTGAGACTGGCAACAGAGTAGTCGGCTGTCTCGTTGTAGGGACCGTCGGCTGAAGACAGAATAAGGACGTCTCAACGCCGGGAAACTATGCATTCTTGTAAATATCGAGATCTGATATGAATCAAGGGACAGAATTCACGGTTTTGATCTCAAGCGTAAAAAATAATTTGAAAAAGACTATCGGACCGATGAGACGATTAGCTGGTTGATCGAAGCGAACATCTCAGACATAGTTAGCTTCATAGATATAGACAGTTTTAGGTAAAAGGCTTAGTGATACAACGACCTATCGGTTGGCTCAAGCGACAGACTAACGGTGAATCGACTCTATGCGTAGCATGAACAATCGGTATAAACGAGGTGAAAAGCTGTAAGCGTCGAAGCATTACCTCTTCCGTAGTGACATTAACAGTACCACCGATGGTGTCCGTCTCCGTTCTTCCGATGACGACGGTCGTCGTAGCCAAGATCGTTTCAGCGGTGGTCGTCGCGCTAGAGTGAGGAACGACTACCGAAGGGGGGATGCTGGTAGTGAGTTCTGGTATAGTAACGGACGAGACGTTTAGAGCTAGATCGTTGTTCTCCGTATATCTCGTGTTTTTCGTCGCCTCTTCGGTGGTCTCCGTTCGATCCTGTGTCTCGGTCGACGGTATGATCGTTGGTGTCATGCTCGCCGTTGTTGTATCTGCTGTTGTTGTGCTCGTTGTTGTGCTACTTGTTGTACTAGTACCCGTTGACGAGGATGACTGTTGGGTTGCTGTTGTTGTCGGAGTAATCGGGGTGGTGGTCGTCGTGCTCGTGGTGGTTGTTGTTGTTGATGTTGTTGTTGTTGGAGTTGTTGATGGTGGTGATGTAAGTTCAGTGGTTGTTGTCTGCGAAATCGTTAGTAGATGCGATGTACGGCACGAAAAACGTTGTTAGTTACATTATGAAGGGAGCGAAGAAAGACGTATCAAGAATACGAAAAGAAAGTAGTACTAAAAAAATTATGACATTACGAAATTTGTGTGGGACATACCCAAAGTTTGGAAGATGACAACCAAAAATTATCATATGATTGTGTCATGTTGCTGTGATCATCTTCCAAATTCGGACAATTTCCAACGTGAATTTCGTGATGCCATAATTTTTTTAAGTAATGTATATGTAGTGAATTATTATGCTTTTCTCTCAGGCTTTCGTTCACTTTTATTCTGTTTAATAATCTGCATTAAAGGCGACTCTCTATACACATTGACCGGTTTAAATGGCACAGATCGGCATATCGAACACGCAAGTACCCACAGCTGGACTAATAAGTGTTTTAAGCGCAATGATTCCCTTGAAAGCGATTGGCATGGCGAATGGAAGACAGAGACGTAAGAATTTCTTAACGAAAGCCGGTTACTTAGCAACGCAATTTTTTGCGGTCTCCTCTCGGTTTCATTTTTAAATCTCATCTGGCTCTAGAAAGGAAGAAGAGTCGGCGACAGTTCGTCACACGACCCGACACTGATTCATTCTCGATACTTACAGTTGGCGCGGTGTCCGTAGTAGTTCTGTTCATCATCATGTCAAACAAGTTCGGCAGACTCGCGATATCGTCAGTCTAAGCACACCCACGTAAAAATAACATTGAATCTTCATTGAAACATCTTCGTAAAAAGCTTTTCGACAAGAAGTTGTTTGAAAATAAAAGTAGTGAAAGTAGGAAATATTATAAAATATCGAATAAATGGCCACCTAATTTCTTTTTACACAGATTCAAGTCCAATATTAAATCGAATACGAGATAATGTATTACTTTAAAGAAATCCACAAAGAATTATAGAAGGAAAGATACTTACATTCCAATCAATGGATTCTTCACCGTGGTGATGCCTGTGAGGATGTTCCTGCCCCGAGCTTCCTCTGGCGCCGTTTGTGCTCATATCCGGCATGATGGTCGGTGGCACTTGCAAGTCATCGCCATCCTCATCGTCCTCCTCGTCGTAGTCGTCGTAATCTGCATCGTAGCCGTCGTAGTCGTCCGGGTTGCTGTCGCCGGAACCAGCCTCCCTCCTGCTCCTCAGCAACAAGCTCGATTCCGTCTTCACGCGCCACAGAAGAACCGGAAGCTGCATGACTTCCGCCAAAGTGCCGTCCTTCGCCTGTTCCCGGAGTTGCCTCACTAAGTCTGTTTGGTGCCTCCACAGATGACCGTCGCATCCAACCTTTTAACGATGTAATTTAATAAAAATGTTTGTTACACGACTATTAACATTTTCTTCACAAATTTTCCTACAGCATCCATTAAACACATACGACTAGTACATATAAATTTTTTCAAACTCCATCCGTAATTTAAATTAAAGAAAAATTCAGGTTTGCAAATTTTATGTGCCATAAAAATTAATAAATAGTGCAAAGAATATATTAGACTTTCTGGATGAATGAATGTTTACCTGCCACTGAAGAGCCGTCAAATGTTTCTCCTTACGGTGTTTCTCGTTCCCAGGTCCGCTTAGAATCACGGACGAATCATCGCTCAAACTCTCCTTCGCGCTTTGCGGATGCATCGAAAACGCACTCTGAAATTGGGACGGAATGTAGACAGCGATGAGAGATGGAAAACTAAACAGTTAACGAGGACATTCCGGTCTTGATTACACCCTCGATTCTAATCACGGTGAAAATAAATTTTCGAGCGACGCTAGTTAGGGAAGAATGCTTCATGACACAATCAGATTATCCTCAATGGTGGTAGATTAAATTTGCGTAACCGAATCGATTATTCTGAAATGAATTCCCCTTCCGATGATGCAATTTCCCGTAATCGCGGCTTAACGACCGGGTCTCGGGTAAGGTTTGTGATAATCAAATGTTTTCCAAGACTAAAATTCCAATCATTTACGAATATTATTCCCCATTGCAGTAAAACAAAGATGAGTACTTCGTTCATAATATCGATGAAGGTTTTTTTATACGAAAACGGATTAATCATTTTTATATTATTTCTTATGGGAAAAGTTGGTCTGGTATAATTCCAAACATCAGGAACGAATTCATGTCGTATATCGAGGTTTACCTTGTATAAGTAAAATGCAAGCGATAAATATGACGGTTGCTCGTAAGTTTGTTAAAAAATTGCGGAATCGCAGCTACTTTCTTTGGAATATGAAAGTATGCGGAGGAATCTGCGCGGGCCATTGTAAATGTATAAAGAGTAACGCTCTTCCTTTCTTCTGCACGGCGATTAAATTAATTAAGAATTCTCTGGTGGCGTCGAGGAAAAAAAGAGGAAACCGCGCGGCGCTCGAAGGCGTCCAATTTACGTACGCCGGAAGCCGCTTTCTCGCTGGGGATATATTTTAAAAGTTGAATATTTCCCGTATTATACCGAGACCACGATGCATCTTCCATTCTACGCTCGCAGCCACCCCTATAACGTCATAAACTTTCTCCTCGCCGCCGCTCGTAAAGAGGCACAAGCTAAACTTTCATCAAATATTACTCCGCACGTGGCGTTATTTTCGTACAGAATTAGGACACCTTCGCAAGAACCGTCCCCGAATGATTTTTTATACTTCCCTTTTCGGGATACAAAAGTCAAGTTATAACTAGACAGGAGATATTCAGGCAAATGCACATTTCTATAGGAAGTAGATGAAATTATGTTTTATCATTAGGAGGTTTTACCACATGGAGACCCAGGAATCCAGCGAGGTTCTCGATGGTGTTCACCCTGGCTGCCGGCGAGATGTTCTCGAACCTCGCGTCCAACAGTATCGTCAGCAAAGTTTGTTCCTCTCCATCGTTGCAATGCGTCTATAATAGTAAAACATAAAAGTTTCTCTATTTTGGCTGTGCGAATCTTACAGTTAGTTAAGAACTGGGTAAATGATGTCAGTATGAAACGAGCAGGAATTTAGGCCGGTCAGACGGCAAATTGTTTGGGCGATGACGCACGACGCGAAGGATTATCAATTGGCATCAATCAGCATCGTCTACCAGACTAATTTCTTCGGCAAGATTTCAACGTGATATGTGGATCGCGTTGTTGCGTTTATACAAACATGATAGGGAGAGTTCTCTGAAGGGCTAGGGTAGTGACTTTTCTAACATTTTCTTATTTATCTAAGAAAAGCCTTAAGCTGTCCCTATAAATGGAGCAGACTATAAAACTTATATCTAATAAAGTAATCGAATAAATGGCCACCTAATTTCTTTTTACACAGATTCAAGTCCAATATTAAATCGAATACGAGATAATGTATTACTTTAAAGAAATCCACAAAGAATTATAGAAGGAAAGATACTTACATTCCAATCAATGGATTCTTCACCGTGGTGATGCCTGTGAGGATGTTCCTGCCCCGAGCTTCCTCTGGCGCCGTTTGTGCTCATATCCGGCATGATGGTCGGTGGCACTTGCAAGTCATCGCCATCCTCATCGTCCTCCTCGTCGTAGTCGTCGTAATCTGCATCGTAGCCGTCGTAGTCGTCCGGGTTGCTGTCGCCGGAACCAGCCTCCCTCCTGCTCCTCAGCAACAAGCTCGATTCCGTCTTCACGCGCCACAGAAGAACCGGAAGCTGCATGACTTCCGCCAAAGTGCCGTCCTTCGCCTGTTCCCGGAGTTGCCTCACTAAGTCTGTTTGGTGCCTCCACAGATGACCGTCGCATCCAACCTTTTAACGATGTAATTTAATAAAAATGTTTGTTACACGACTATTAACATTTTCTTCACAAATTTTCCTACAGCATCCATTAAACACATACGACTAGTACATATAAATTTTTTCAAACTCCATCCGTAATTTAAATTAAAGAAAAATTCAGGTTTGCAAATTTTATGTGCCATAAAAATTAATAAATAGTGCAAAGAATATATTAGACTTTCTGGATGAATG